CCCGAGGACAGAGCTGCCTCTTGCTTTTGCCCTGCCTGCCAGCCTCCCTCTTCGCCGGGCCCGGTCAGTCCGTGCTTCGCTGGAGAGCTCTGCCCCTCTTCGGGCACGCAGCGTCTCCCCAGCCCCGCTTCCGCGTGTGCGGGTGGAGGAGGCCCTGCCTGAGCGAGCAGACGCAGTACAGCCCCGTCCCTGCACCCTTTCGCCCTTACAGGCCTCTGCAGAAACACCCGGGCTGCGGGTCCGTAGCAGGCCGCTGCTGCAGGGGCACCGGGGGCTTCTGCCAGCCTGGCAGGTGCTTCTGGCTCCTGCCTGAGGGTCACAGATAGGGGCTGAAGAATTGTAGGCCAGTGTTTCTTCAAAGAGAAAAAAAAGAAAGCGTTAATAACGAGCGTCAGTTAGTTTTGTTACAAAATCAGTTTTGGTTGGCGTTGGAAAGCCCAAAGTGCGTCAGGAGGAAGGAATTCGGAGTATAGGTGGCTTCTGTAAAATTGTACATGGGCAATGATTTATCAAAAGCAGAGAAATAGGGATCCTCCCAAGTAAAGTATTTAGAATGAACTTAGGGTCATATATTGAATAGAATAAAATAAAGAAACTAAGGCTTTTTTTTTTTTTTTATTTGGAAAGTAGTGGGCTTAGTTGGGAAACTAGAATTGTGATCTTTTTGATGAAAAGGCCGCAGGCCTCTGTGTCTGATCTAATAGATTTTGTCAGTAGTCAGTCACGTTTGCTTTGGCTGTCGTAATGATATACGATCTGCTGGATTTCTTAGTGTGCCTGAGTATGGGAAGGAAATATTTAGTAATGGCTCTACTTCTGTAGGACTCAAATATTTTTTCAGGAGTGGGCTCTTTATGGAGGTATTCACGCTAACTTCTGTGTAACAAATAATGGTCCTACTGTGTGTTTTCTGCTGGAATTTTTTTTTCTTACAGGGCACAACTATCTTCTTTCGCTTGTGTATCTCTAGGAGTCAAAAACACAATTTCTTGGCTTTAATATTATAGCTAATTGTTTTGTATTACCTCAGTTAACTCTGTAATGATTCTGTTCATGTTTTTGTGTATGCTTCTTTGATATATGTTTCTCACCTCCATTTTAGGATTATGCTAAGGACAGATATGGAGTGTCATCAATGATACAATCCCAAGAGAAACCAGGTCAGTTAAAAAACAAAAAAGTTTTTAAAAAAAGAAGGGGGGGGAAGGAACAGAGAGGTTATATGCTTGATAACTTCAGTGCTTGTTTGAGAAATCATTTACGAAACTTTTTGCTTCAAATCCTGCTGCCATACTTTCCCTTTATTTGAATACATTCGCCACTTGTGAGGCCGCATTTGGAGTGCTATGTCCAGTTTTGGGCTCGCCAGTGCAAAGAAGTCATTAACATTTTGGAATCAGTCCAATGGAGAGCTACCAAGTTGCTCAGAGGACTGACTGGAGCATAGGATCTCTGAGGAGAAGCTAAGGGAGCTGGGCTTGTTCAGCCTGGAGAAGAGGAAGCTGTGGGATGATCTTATTTCTGTTCAAAGCTCCTTGATGGGAGGGTGTAGAGAAGATAAAGCCAGACTCTTGAAGGTGTGTGGTAGTTGGACAGGATGTCATAGGCACAAGTTGGAACACAGGAAATTCTGGTCAGACAGGAGGAAAAAAATCATGAGTGTGGTTGATATTGGAGCTGGGTCCAGAGAGGTTAGGGAATCTCAGTCTTTGCCATTACCTGGGCCACGCTCTACACAGCTTGTCAGTTTTTGTCTCTGTCCATCAATGCAGGCTTTTTTATTAAATTATTTATAATGTACTGAGTCCTGAGATGTCAGGTTTTTTCTTTGTTTGGAGTAAGTTCTGCTATGGCTTGCTGCAACAGTACTGTCGCTCTCTGAGTAGGATATCTGTCTGCTTATGCAGCCGTCATTACTCCTGCATATGGGCACCAAATCCATTAATATTATATATTAATATTTATGGGTTTTATCGTTATTCACACTACTGTGAATTCAGGAAATCCGCATTTTATACTGCTGGTGAATTGGGATTCAGAAAGACTTGTCAGCTAGAGAACAATCTGCCAGACCAACATCCCAAGAAATATTAATCTTCATATTATCTAGTGCATGAAACAGGAATGAGGGAAGGTAATAGACTGGCTTCTTGTAACTTCTTCATAGTGAAATGTAAAAAAGGAACATCATCTGTGATTAGGTGATTTTTTTTTTTTTTTTTTCTCTCTCTTCTGTGTGGTTT